GCGCGACCTTCGCTGGTCAAATTATAACCTTACATTGAAGTCGACACGTATTCTGGAATTTTCATGTGATATCATTCTTTTATGAGGTAGGTCCACTGCAGTGTTTATAACCTCTCTTTTTAAAGTTATATTATGTATTAATCAATCATTATCATGCATAAATCATGCCGCTTATTTATTTGTTGATATATCACATTTTCCCCATGAAAAATGATCATGGGGGCAAATGTGATACATGAATTTGGGGCAATTGTGATATGTATAGTACATTTACCCCGTTGTTTTTAGATACATCATGGTGCGAAAATACATCAAGAAGAGAAATGTAAATGATGTTAAATATTCTATCGAAGCCTTAAATTCAGCAATTGTAGAAGTGAAATCAGGACGAAAAACTATATATGGGGCTTCTAAAGAACACAAAATACCTTATGTTACACTTTATAGTCGTATCAAAGGCATACGAGGAAAGAAAAAAGAGAATAAAGGACGTCCAACACATATTCCCATCATGGATGAATTGAAATTGGCCAATGGCTTGAAAACCCTAGAAAAGTGGGGATTCGGGTTATCGAGGAAAGAAGTGTTCGAGGTGGTTGGGAAGTTTGTGAGAGAAAACAAAATCAAGACAAGTTTCAGAAATGGAGTCCCAGGTGAGGACTGGTTTCTGAACTTCAAAAAACGCCATAATATGAGCCTCAAGATACCGCAAAATGTGGAATATGCGCGAAAAAAAGCGTTGGACCCATTCATAATCTTTTCTTATTTTGATCTATTGGATAAAACTATCACAGACCTTCAACTTCTTGACAAACCTCACAGAATATGGAACCTGGATGAGAGCAGTCTGAGCATAGATCCTAGAAAATCTAAAGTGGTCGGTGCAATTAACAAACCATCATCAAGAACTATAAGTTCACCCGGTAAAGAAAACACTACAATCTTGTTGATGTGTAATGCAAATGGCGATAAAGCACCACCATTGATAATATATAAGGGAAAACACTTATGGGACCAGTGGCTTGCTCCTCCCAAAACAGATTTTCCAGGCACCGTTTATGCTGCTAGCAAGAAAGGCTGGATGGAGAGCGATATCTTTACAAATTATTTTCTGAAGACTTTAATTCCAGCACTTGGTCCAGAACGTAGATCATTTACGATGGTCATTCAACACATATAGGTTTGGAAATACTCGAAACAGCAATTCAGAATGATATCACTATATTGAAGCTGCCTCCACACACCAGTCATTTACTGCAGCCATTGGATCTTTCTGTTTTCCGACCATTCAAATTAAAATGGTATGAAAAACTGATCTCTTGGCAACGACAACATGTGGGCCAGAAATTACCAAAAAAAATATTTTCACAGTTCCTCTGTTCTACCTGGAAAGATATTTCAACTGAAGTTATAAAAGGTGGATTTCGAAAAGCCGGAATTTCTCCACTAAATAAAAATGTCATTCCAGAAGAAGTTTTCCCTCCAGAGGCTCTGAAAAGATGGCATGATCATAGGACTAATGGTAACAACACAGAAGCAAACACTCTTGGCAGAAGATCGATACCAGATGATACTGCAGTGGCCACTACATCTGAAGTCATAGGAGCCACGGTCGTGACAAACAGAATAACTTATGATAAACCTTCGATGCCTGATGATAATGAAGTGGCTACTACATCTACAGATATATTGATGAACGAAACCAGTGATAATATATCTTTCGAAAATTTATTGTTGGCCTCAATTCGTCAAGCGCCTAAACCAGATCAACAGAAAAAAACAAGAATATGTCCTGGTTCGGAATTATTAACATCAGAAGAGGCGGTGAATCGGCTTAAAGATCAATTTAAAAAAACAAAACAACCGCAAGAACGAAAAAAAAAAGTGGAACCAAAACAATCTAAAAAAAATAAAAAGAAGCGAACACTTTCATCAAGCAGTGAAGATATGGAACCAGAGTCTCCACCTTATATGGATTCAGACAACTCTGAAGAGTTTTTAGAAGAACTGGGCGATACCCTAGTGGATGAAAATGAAGATGTTGACCAAACTGTCACTGTTAATTCTTGGGTGTTAGTCAAATACTGCAGCAAGAAAATGATCAAACACTTTGTTGGAATGGTGACCGAGGCATGTGACGATGGTTGGACAGTAAAATTCACAAAATTTTCGAAAAACACATTTTCATGGCCACAAGTAGGGGATGAGGACATTATACATCAAAGTGATATTGTTAGGGTTTTGCCAGAGCCAACTCTCAATAGACGTGGTTCTTTTATATTTTCAGTGTCATTTGAAGGCTATAATTTAGCATAATAGTTATGTTTTTCATGTCAATATTGAATCCAATATTGTTATTTACGTTATTTTTGCAAATTCTTCCTCACATTTTTTGTGACAAGAGATTAGGTTTATTTTACATTTCATCAGTTAAACTTTGAAAGCTTCATAACTTTCTTCTTTATTGAGATATTTTGATTTTGTAAAATCAGAATAATCAATAAATTACATTCATTATACATTTACCCCATTCTATTTCACTTGAATCATTCACAGGTAGACATATATCATTATCACATTTGCCCCAAACGCTGGGGTAAATGTGATATAATGAGACCGTTTTAAAAAAAAATTCCTAACTTTTTTCAAAAAGGAGTTGAAAAGGCGTCAGTCCTGGTATCAATCAAAAACTATATTCAAATCGTTGATAATTTTTTATAGAAAACTTTTTCCATTTTAATTATCAATTTTGGTATTTTCTTCGTGAACGACGTGACGACATCCAATTTCACCATTCAGTACAGCAAATGAATGTTTGTCAATATCATTTGGTCATGCTGTCGTCGTTTGAATACACTATTCAATAACGAATGCGACTACGCTATTACCAAATGTAAAAATTTCACAAACGATAAGATTTCCACAAAATTCTCAAACACACGACATGTTTCGCTAACAGAGTAGCTTCGTCAGGTGATATACTGGTACAATAAACTAAACTAACGTACTTTCCCAACTTGAAGGATTAATTACCTGTGGACAGGTACGATAAACCTCCATTTTCGGAAATTAGGCACAATATCTACATTAAAATACGGTATACCGGATTAACTTGAAAGAGATGCTAGCAAATACATATTATTACTTACTAAGAAAACAAATTCAACAGTAGGGAACTATTGAGGTCTAATTGATCATTAGGTGATATGTCACAATTTTTGAGTTTGTTGATTTCTAATGATTCAAAATGATTGAGTTTCAGTCCTTTATTTTCTATGTGTAGAATTTCGAAATTATCATCAAAACTATGGTTTTCTTCTAATATATGGTTGGCGTATGTTGAATTTGTTTTCTTTTTTATAAAATTCATCTTATGTTCATGAATGCGCTGATAAAACGTACGACTTGTCTGACCGATGAATACCTTAGGACAAGATCCACAGTTGAGTTTGTATACCCCTGATTTTTCGAATTCAGAAGTTTTGTCTTCATTATTCTTGATAAACTGTCCCAACGTGTTATTTGTACTATATGCCACTTTTATGTCCTGTTTATGAAAAAATGAGGCTAATTTCTTAGTTGATGATCCGAAATAGGTTTAAGTTCTATAATTTTGATTATTATTCTTGATGGTAGGATATACGTCTTGAATATCTTAATGATGAAGTTTTTTAGCAAGAATACTATCTATCAAATTAACGTTGTATCCGTTGTTGACTGCAATTTGTTTTCCGAAAATGGAGGATTATCGTACTTGTCCACAGGTAACTAATCCTTCAGGTTGGGAAAGAAGGATATAAAAAGTCAAGCAAGCCAACGTTAGTTTAGTTCATTATACCAGTATATCACCTGACGAAGCTACTGTGTTAGCGAAACATGTCGTGTGTTTGAGAATTTTGTGGAAAATGAGCTCTAAGAGGGCCATGACATATAGAGAGCTAGTGTAGCTTTCTGAAATACTTTCTGGCATCGAAGACCTGACTAGTGACGAAGAGGGTGCCGCATTGAATGATGATTTGGAGCCCGAGCCAGTATTTGATGATGATATTGATAATGAACGTGTGTATTTTTGACTACGTAGTTAGTACAGTATGCATATTTTTTTCGTGAAGTTTCAGAAATTGAAGAAGAGTCACTGTACTGTCTACGGAATCTCAGCCTGGACCAAGTACAAGCAGATGTTCCATCAGCAGAAAAGAAACAAAAAAAGATTAAATCACAAGACTTGAACTGACCTCTGAAGAAAATATTTCCTGGAGAACAGGAGTCAAATTCATAACACCAGTCATCAGGTGGTTCGTAAGAAAAACGGAAGATATAGTTGAACTTCAAAGTCCAGTTTTTTTTCACTAAATATTTTAGTGATCAATTATTTCAGGATATGGCTGAATATACTAGTCTATATGTTGCGCAACAGATTCAGAGATTCACTCCTACAGACCTCCATGAGATGACAACTATGGTTGGTATTCACATTATTATGGGGAATTCACATTACCCCAGAATTCGTTGTTACTGGAGCACAAAAATTCTATACGAATTCCAATTATAGATGACAATATGTCACTAAATCGGTTTTTCTAATTGAGGCCGAACCTACATTTCATCGACAACAATGCAAGAAAAGAAGACTCAACTGATCGTTTTTGAAAATAAGGCCATTGTATAATCGAATAAGAGCTACATACCTTTCACTTCCCTTGGAGAAGGAACTGTGTAGATGAACAAATGGTTCCCTTCAAGGGAAGCTTGAATGTAAAACAATACGTGAAAAATAAACCTAATCTTTGGGGTATGAAAATATTTGCCCTTTGTGGGAGGTGGCATTTCATTAGAATTTATTCTATATCAAGGCACTACAACAGAGATCGACGAAATGGAGAAAGGAGTGTTTGGCTTAGCTGCAGCAGTAGTCTCAAAACTGAGCCAAAGAATGGCAGAAGATTAAATGTATCACTGCCATTGTGAAAAGCTACCTATAGTTGTATGCAGACATGAAAATGCCCCCTACTGAGTACTTCAACCTCGATGTCTGCTCCCAATTAACGAACATTCTGTTCACTGGATACAGCGTACTCGGTCAGAAAACAAATGGGACAGGGGATGCAATAAAAGGAAAAGCTGAGAAGAGCGGCTTCACAGTGAATGAAGCTTCGAAGAAATATTCGACTAGTCTGACGAAGGTGACAGAGATAGTCAAAGGGGCGTTTAAAGCGGTAGGGCTGGAATTCCAAAGATTCGTCCCCAAGGATGAAGCTAATTGGTATGGGACGGCAGGGCCTTACCTGAACTTCTTCTGTGGGTACGGGCTCAGATGGAAGGAATTACGACTAGGTCACTCGCAGATGTCAGTGGGAAAGGAAGAGGGAAAGTCCAAAATTTTTATGGTCGAAAGCTACGGACTTCATGGTGGCCACCACATACTCCTTGAAGGATGCACATTCCCTCCCGAAAAAGGATCGTCGATGGTGCAGTCGCTGGGCCCTATGACCATCCTTTTGTATTATATTAGGTGTGAGCCGCAGTACAGGGATAAATGGCTAGCTGCAGCAAAACGCACCTTTGCATTCACACCAGACATCGACCAGCTCTTAGCGGCGGAAAAACACAAGAAAAATGCCTCGGAAATCAGACATTTAATAGGAATGATGGCTGACATTTGCCGCATAGCGACTACTAGGCAAGCGACTAGAGTATTCCTACCTTTGTGTATGGTGGCTTTTGCGACAGCGGACGACACTAACTGTGCCCATGCATCCCTTGTCAGACCAGCCACTCTTCCATGCGGAAAGATAACTGCAGAATTAGGTCCTACCATGATAACGAGACTCAATTTCTCGGAAAAAGGGGCTTTCATGCTGTGCTTTCATGCTGTGGGACCTTTGTAGAAACGTAGATTTCAGAATGAATGGGGAATGGAATGAGAGCGATGCCGCCCAGGTGATGTAACACTGCGTTTTTGGGACTTTCAAAGAAGACCTCGGGGTTCTGGCAGATATCACAGACTATGGGAATTGGTACACTAGGAAAGAGTTGGGTTCTAAATTTAAGAAGCACAATATATCAGGCGAAACATTCTCTTTATCCAACAAACATACTGGTTCAAGCTCACAAGTGCTTGTCAAACAAATCTGCTCAGTGGCAACTACTTCCAGGACTCCAGTCTTCCATGTTTCAGCGGGTCGACGGAGATTAAGTTCAACGAAGAGTTCTTCGAGAATATTGCCAAGAAACTAGGGAGGTCAGCCGAAGGGAGGACTATACAGCAACTCACATCGAACTTCGCAGACCCTCTGAATAAATAGCTACAGAAGCTAAGAGACGATGGAGGACTCTTGCAAATGATAAATTTTGCGATGTTCAATTCCTAAATACTTACTCTACAGAAGAAGTGGTGGAAGGATATCGAGACTGAATTTCAAAATTGAGCTGGCAGAAAAATTATTTCAAAATACAGTGAGCCCATAAGTAATCCAATAAGGCGTTCAAAAACAGATAATCCTAACCGGCTTACAGAACGGCTTTTTCCAGCCATCATTCCTCAAACAGCAAATAAGGAAAAACCAACAAAAATATGTGTTCTATGTTCACAGAGGGAAGTGAGGAAATAAATAATCTAGATACTGGTGTTTGAATTGCAGAACTGGAATTTGTCCAGCTCTTTGTTTCAGAGATTACCATACCAAGTAATCGGTGATCGTCAAAGTCTTTGAGAATATGTCGAAGATTTATTTTTCTTTCCATGTATATCATACCGATATCTAACTTGTGGAATTTTGTATCAATGAGCATTTATGGGTGGAAGAGTCCCTTCACAATGGTATCGCCATTCGGTATCTGGTTAACAGGCCATACTTACTATTTGACAGTATCGTTGTAACATTCTCCTAATAATGACATTTTTGTCACTTCAGAAATTTCGACTACCATCTAAAATAATGGAACAAAACTATTCTAATAAAGTTCTCATCATTTTTTCATTATTCTTGGATGATGTGATGATATACTTATCGATGTCCTACTAGGTACGAAAGCTGGTTTAACAAATTATCATATTGACAAAAGAGCAATGCCACCAGAAGAGGAAGTACAGTATAATTATTATTGTAAAAATTGTCAACAAATGATATCACAAGTTACAAACTTAGAGAGATAGCACCATAATGTCATGTGAGCAATGTGAAACAATGATTGTGATATCACCTCTCTTGGAAAACTATTTTATAACTTTAGATTTGTGCTACCAATTCAAGAAACTTCTGGAACATACAAGTATGTGAGCATCTTCGTCAAATCCACTATTTTAGATGTACATGGTTCTGAGCTTTGCCACGCTTTAATGAAAAAATATAAATCTGATTTCTAATTCGATTTTAATACAGATGGTGCACCTGTATTTCATTCTTCAAAACTATCCATGTGGCCCATTCAAATTGTTGTGAATAAATAACCACCAGCACAGAGGCATTGGAATATCATACTAGCTGGGATTTGGTTTGGGAAATCAGATGAATGTGATAGCGAATGAAGGAGGGTTTCGATGAAAGATAAATGGTAGATTGAAAACTTCAAAAATATTTCCATTATTTTGTTGTGTAGATTCAGTAGCTAGGCCATTGCTTTAAAATGCAACTCAATTCAACGGAATTTAATGGATGAAGCTACTGCTATCATTCAGGGAAAGTGATAACAAGCAATTGAAATATTCATCAAATGTTCCTCCTTATACCATTCGATCTTCCGATGAGGTAATAAGGGATATGCAGGAAGCTGTACCATCTGAAAGGAGAGTTAATGGCATTGAAGGTAGTTCATCAGTTATAAATTTTCCAGGTTCTGATCTGGTTTGGAGTTATCCTATAGACCATATGCACATGGTATTATTGGGAGTAGTTCGTCAAACCTGGGATATTTGGAAAACTTATGGGGACGAAATGTACATTGTACATTGGAGCTCTCTCTGAAGAAAATTAATAAAGGGTTATTGAACATTTGTCCTTCAAACGAAATTCATCTTGCGCCCAGACCACTTTCTGAAGAAGCCAGATGAAATGCCAGTGAATGGAGATCTTGGAAATTATTCTATATAGTGTACCATGCGTTTATGGTATCCTAGTATCAAAATATTCAGAACACTTTTGTTTATTGCAAAGAGCAATTTATTTACTCTTGAAGAGAATAATAACAAAACATGATATAGAACATGCGAAGAATATTTGAATGATATTGATTATTATGAGTTTCCTGGAGATAATCGAAATAGTATTCGTCATTTGGATGCAGGATATCAGGAACAAGTTGATAGCAATGTGAAAGTTTTTAACCATTTCGGTCACTGCGTCGTCAATTGACGACATCCAATTTCAACATTCAGTACAGAAAATGAATGTTTGTCAAGGTCATTTAGTCATGCTGTCGTCGTTTGAATACACTATTCAATAACGAATGCGACTACGCTATTACCATCTAGTGCCGTGATCGTGAAGTTGGAAAACATAATTTACAGGTTTCTGATGATTTACTCAAGATTCCTGTTTATTTGATGTTGGTTCTACTTTCACCACGATTTGTTTCTGTCAGCTGATAGTGTCGGATCGTGTCGACAGAAGTGTCAAGTTTTCTGGGAAATAAACCAGATTCGGGTGTAGTCAATTGACGACAGTGTGACTAAGAAGATTCTATAATCTGTTGAATATTTCTGGGATAAGTGTTCTCTGCGTTTATAAAGCAAATCATCCCCAAGAAAAAATCTCCAGAAGTGATTTTATCGAGAAATTTACTTGGGAACTGATAAAACCACAGATAGAGGCGAGGTCAACTATTACCTCATTACCAGTAGAGCTCAGAGGGCGAGCGCGTTCACTTCTTGGACTCGAGGTGATTATTCCCCCTCTCACTCCACTGCAAATACCGGAGGAATATTTCGGAAGATGTCATGTGGGTCCTAGAAGTCGCAACTAGTCTTCAAGAAAATGTCGCGTGAAATGCAATCGTTATGCATGCAAACAACATATGACAGATGTATGCACTACTTGTTTGATCGACTGAAAATGTCATCATTTTTCTACCACTTTTATAATGAATGATTAGTTTTTTCTTGTGAAAATATTTTTCACTATTGAGTTGTAATGTATTTAAAACAGAAAAATACGTTTTGTTGACAATTCAGGAAAATTATATTCATTTTCTGGTTTTGTAATAGCCAAATGCAAATAAAGCTATGAAAAAACATATTCATCGGTTTTATTCCATAACAAGAAAAAAATCTCAGGAAATAATACAAAATTTATTCCACGAAAGAGTCTATACATGATCGAATACATAATGAATAATTCATCATTCATTTGTGACATTGGGTCGTAGACCGCGCGACCAAAGACGTAGGAAAATACCGCCCGTCTAACGAAGGGTCAAAGTAATCATTATATTCATCTCGACATGATTTAGCTATCTCGGATATATTTCTAGAAGTACTCGTTTGTGATCCAGTGATTATTCCATCTCTTCTCCACTCTCCATATATAATATTTCCAGAATCTGAATCTTCAAGATCTACTGAGCCTGGGATTATATGAGTTCCTGAAGAACTTCTTCTTAAAAAATTGTGCAGGCTACATGCAGCTAGCACTATGTGATCTATATTTTCTGGTTTCATATTTATTTATGTGTGGAACATTCTGAAACGGCTAGCCAGCATACCAAATGCATTTTCGACGGTTCGTCTTGCTTTACATAAAAGATAATTGAAAATGTGCTCAGCAGCAGTCAAACCTAGAAGGATGTGGTTTCAAGATATGCTCTTGTAATGTGAATGCATCATCTCCGATGAATACGAATGTCAAGTGTTCTTCGTTGTTCTCCTTGGCAGGTATATCCAGCCGATCTTCTAGGAGTCTATCGTAGAAATCTGTACATTCTATGACCCTTTCATCTGATACTCGTCCGTTACAATACACATTGACTATGCTATACTACAATATTCTGTAAAGTTATAAAAAAGTTGATCAATTATTCTTCGGTAAAACAATTCTTATGTGTCTTTCATCAATTATTGCTCCTCCGCAATTCGGAAAATTCCACCTACGTTCAAAATCTTTGCTGATTTGGAGCCCATCTTCTCTAGAATTAGGAAACTGAAAAGAAAAATATCCTAATTATACGTTCATTGTTCATTTTAGGCCAACAGCTGTCAGTTGGGAGAAGACACGAGTCCTATTTCGGAAGTACAATCAAATGACATGCAAGAAGAATCGACAATATCCAATCCATCCGTGGCATCATGTTCCACAACACAATCATCTACTCCAACTATTAAGCTTTCCACATACAAGAGAATAAAGAAAAATGAAATTGTAGCTGCCGCATATGGAACTTTGACCAAAGAGGAAGATGAGTTTGATGATATTGGTGCAACAGTGGCATTCAAATTGAGAAGAATGACTGAAGATCAAAGGAATATAGCTGAGTTTTTATCAAACCAAGTTTTATACTATGGTGTCCAAAGTAAATTAGAAGAAACTCCTTATATCTGTTTCCCGGAAAAACAGCCAAATCAACAAACATCTTTTGAACAATGTTGAACCCACGACATCTATTACACATTTTACAACAAATATTCTACCAGCTACGAATAATGATAATACTGAGCTTCGAATGACTCCCTGAGGAATATTGTTTCTATGAATTTGTTTAAAATCTTGAGTTTTGACTCAATACGCATTTAATTTTGAGTTCTGTTCATTTTATGCTGTTGAATAAAAGTTTTGTTTTACCTCCATATATTCTGTTTTTAAAACCTTGTGGATAGCTCTGCATTTTTCTGGAATCATGACCCCTAACGCTTTCGGAGAAATAATCGTACTGAACTATAAATCTTCGAAACTGCGCC